CGTTAGATCGGCGTACCGCATGTTGGGCAGTATAAGAAATTGCAGGGAGGAGCTGCTTCTAATGGCGCGGTAGAAGAGAAGAGTTGGAAATCTTTATGGAACACCCAGGTCCCCGGTAAGATCAGAACCTTCCTTTGGAGGTTGGCAAAACACTCACTTCCATCGGAGGATGTGCGTCACCATAGGAAGACGTGCGACATGGATATTTGCCAAATTTGTGGTGGTGCTGATTCTTGGTGGCATTGTTTGATAGACGGCACGACTGCGAGGTGTGTTTGGGCGTTGGCGACGAACAATTGACTGATCACATTGTTCAGTCACACGAACCCAATGCGAAGCTTTGGCTCTTTAACATGATGGAATCGTTATCACATGCAGACTTCATGAAGATGTTTGTGACCCTTTTGGCAGTGTGGATTGCAGGAAGAAAAGCAAGACACGAGGCCATTGACCAAAGTCCGATGTCGACTCACCTCTTCGTAGAAAGATTCATCAGTGAGTTGGATGGCCTAAGAAGGATCGCAGTACCGACATGCCAAGGAGGCGCACTCATGTGATCAACATGTCAAATGCTTGGAAGCCTCCTCTGAATGGCCGCGTGAAGATTTATTTAGATGGTGGACTGTCTCATGATGGTCATGTGGGTGCAGCTGCGGCAGCATGCAGAGATGAACAAGGTAATTACCTCGGATCTTCAGCGATCGTTCTACCCGGAGTGAATAATCCAGCAAGTCTTGAAGCCATAGCATGCCATGAGGCCTTGGCACTAGCTGCTGATTTGTCTTTGAGTCATTTGGTGATTGCTTGCGATTGCAAACCGATCGTGGATGACATCAAAAATGGATTATGAGGTCCGCATATCACAATATTGAAGGAGATAAATATAAGAAGAACAAGTTTTGTTAGCTATGATTTTATGTTCGAAGGCCAGGCTTCGAACCAGAAGGCACACAATCTTGTATAAAATTTTCTGTTTTGCTTCCATAGGGTCGTCACTTGTGGCTCCTACATCCACATGACCCCCTTTGCATCCCCATGAGTATGCGTGTGTTCTCTCCACCTATCAATGAAATGATACACAAGTCCTTTGTGTGTTCTCACTTAGAAGAAGAAACTGAATTATCAAAAAAAAAACTTAGAAGAAACTGAGAAATAAATCATACAAACAAACAAGCAAATAAACAGATAGACATGAACAGATGCTGCACAAGTTTGAATCACCAAACTCCCTACAGCTCACAAAACGAAAGGGAGGCACACAACGCCAACAAAAAGGAGTAGAGCATTATGAAAACTCTGTATATCTACTACCGACTCTTTCCCTGTACGAAGATGATCGCCGCACATCCGGCCTGATACAGCTGACGAGGCAGGGCAGCGTCTCATCAAGCCTGCCGCAATTCAACTTGATCGACGACAATCTACTGGAGCCGGTGGATCTAAAAGAGGAGCACCCCAGGTGAACCGAGGAGGAGCGTACGCGACGGATGTCCGCTGGGCGACGCAACGAGCCAGTGCTTGCGCCTGCGGCACATAGAGCCAACGATGAGCTAGTCCACGGAAGCTCCTTCAGGAACGTAGTGCCTGTGAGCTTCACGAAAGAGACTATTGTGTGCCTGCACAGAGGGCAAGATATGGAACCGGGCACCCCACGGGTACACGTCGAGCTGCTGGTGGTGGAGCACAGATAGAGCGCACATTTGGTGCAGAACTCATGGCCACAACCTATTTCAAAACATAGTAAAATCGTATGAATGGATAGGATAAGGTAGAACTATTCAGCATGAGGATTAGTCTGTTAGTATACCTTCTGCAGCGACCGTGCATTCCATCTCCAAACATATCACACATGGATCATGGCAACTACTAGATGATGCCGAGGTTTTTCTCCATCCGCATTCCCTGTGAACGATCAAATATGAGTCAATTAGTAAATGGGGAATTGTTTCTCTGTTCCGTGTTAACTGGAAATGTGCCTCGGGAAAAATCTGGAAGCCCAGCGAGACAAAGTCCAAGTTTTCTCATTCTCAATAATCTGCGTCTGTTAAGGTGCGGATTATCCTTCAATAGGCATCTACGTTCCGAGGCATGGTGACCTTACTTACTTCCCCTATTCAATTAAGTAAATGATTGCGGCTTTGTGCACAAGTACAGATGCTTGATATTTTGGACAAATTTCAATTCTATTTCAAAACATTATAGGTTTGATGAACTAGGAATTTAAGACGTGACGAAATGATAACAGTATGCACATACTCTGTCTGGTATTTGAACTCACCGAGCGATTTTGACAATGCTCATCAGTGGAAGAGATAGATATGGTGATGGAAGAATTAGTAGTCTCCCTTCTGGCTGTTTGCTTAGGACGCCTTCAGCACCGGTTTTGTGCCATGAACGAGCCACCATCAAAGGACTCAACCTTCAAGGAAACAGCATTGGAAAACAGTGAACCACACGGAAATTGTTTTCTAACGAGGCATAGGCATAAGTCGAATGCCAGCTATAAATCCAGGCCGGCATATGACATCACAATGGACATAAGCACAAAATGCAGCCAACTGGTTTTAGCATTTGAATTCAGCGAAGGAAAATGGATTTATTTGGGCAGACACTAGTCACAGCTAATTAGCATTTACCATAGTTACCTTAGAAATTCTGATAATACAGCCCAAAAAGAAGCGTGAAATATATCCAAGTGACATCAGTAAATATATCAGAATGTGGCAATTGTAAAGTAACAACCTTTTCTCAGATTTTCAATCATTGTGAAGTGTACAAACAAATACTTCTAGAATAGAAACATGGAATTCCCTAGGCATACCTGTTAGCATTTTCAGCTCCCATGTGTGCTCCTGCTGCAATGAGAAGCTGTTTTACGGCAATCAGTAAACGGGAATTGGACAATTACTTGATAATTTATAGAAGGGAGAATTCAATGCATACTTGGCAGCATACAGCACTTCCTCCGCAAGCTGCATAGTGAAGGGCCGTGCTTCCTGAACCTGCAATTTTAGGGAATTGTTAATATATGACCATGTAAAGAAGTTCAGAATATTTCCCCTTGTTCTGCACATTTGATGTGAGAAGTAACGGTCAAATTCCGTAAACAATAACTACTTGAATTTAGTTAAACATTTAACATTCTGTGTACAGTTTTATGTTTTTTACCCTGTTCAGTTTTTACCTATGAGATCAATAGTTGAACCATCGTTGACTGTGACCTCAGAGACAGAGGCTCCAAGGTCTAACAGCAATTGCAAGCTCTCAGCATGCCCGTGAAGAGCTGCCAAGTGAAGAGGGGTGACACCTCCATCTGACTTTGCATTAACTAGTTTCTGGAGATTTCTGGGAAGCAAAGGAAAATGGATATTTATTTACTAGTTATCGGAAGATGCCAACATAAACAATAAAAAAAAAGATGCCAACATAGATGAACGTCAGAATTTGACATACGCTGCATCAAAAGCTTCCTTATTTGTTTCATCCGTGGCTGTTCCGCGCATGATGCTCCAAAAATCCGGCAAACTAGGCACGTAATCAGCCGCAATAAGCCGGATGCACCGGGTATGACCTTTCAGGGCGGCAAAATGAATTGCTGTTGCACCACTAAAACAATCTTTTTTGTGAATCTAAGATTAAAAATACATATCACTTGCATCAGTACAAATTACAGCCCAGTTTAACACAAAAACAAGTTTTTTTTTTGGCGATCACAAAAAGATACACAAGATTGATATTCACTTACATTAGCTTTAAAAAGAACTAGGATCTGTACAACTTTCCAATGACCATATAGACAAGCTTGCATCAGAGCAGTCTGCACGGCAATTGTTGCGTTTAGAATTGGTACCAGAACAAAGAAATATTCTCTTTCACAATAGAACAGAGATAGAAAGAACATAATGAGGTGGCATCAAATCACCCCTTCAAGAATGTTCCAATAGGATATCTTTTTTTATCTAGAAGTCAACTAAGACAGTAACATTCCACAGCTTACTTCCATCTACTTGAAACAACTGATATATCATTTTCTAAGACCTGAGCGACCTCAGATATATGGGAAATGCATATACTTGTAAGATTGCAACTAGATGGTCGAATCCATTTCTGTATACCGAGTAAGAAGTATTCTCTATAAATATTCAAAAGTAATAACACATATTATGGATCATCAAGAATTGGATACCAATGATGAACAAGGTGGGAGATAAAAAAAAAGAGCTCACCTGTCCTCTGCAGTTCCTAAGGTTGATATCAACGCCAGATTCTATTAGCAGGGAAACAATCTACCAGGAAGATGAAATTACTTATCAATTGATAACGAACACACATACATTAACTAACAAAAGTAGCTAAAAATAATTGTAAACTGGTAACGAAAGAGATGTGTGGAGTGAATCACCTCGTGGTGGCCCTTTGCCGCCGAGTAATGGAGGGGTGTGTTCCGGATACCGAATGTCGAGTATCGTGCAAGCCGGGGGTTAAGCTCCAATAGGGCCCTAGCCTCCTGGATGTCTCCATCCCTCGCGGCAGAGACAAGCCGCTCACCGGTAGCTGAGCAGCCGAATGAGTCACCCATCATACCTAGGAGTCCCATGGTGCTTCTACCTATCAATGCACAATCTTAGTACCACTTAGTAAGGACTCGCCATATATTGAGTTTAATCACTTGAGCACGCTATGAGGTCATACAATTCTGAAGCCAAGCGTATGAGTGTACCAAGAATGGAAAGCTGGCCTGTATGTAGAGTAAATTGCCCCCAAATTGATATGGTAGGGGAATTCAACCAAATGGACACTCTACAGGGAACTGATTCAGGAAAAGGGGAAACTAAGCCACCTGTCCACTTTGAGAAGCACCAAAATGGCATAGCATAACCCCAGGCATTTGTACACTAATCTAGTGAAGGATCCACATTAAGGGGCTCAATAAGTTAGTAACTGGATCACTAGGTCACCCCTATAAGAAGACAATGGGCATAAATGGCAGCAATGTTGGCTCACTTTCTGAAAGAAACACCTCAAATTGACACAATAAGCAGGAAACCTAAACCGAGGTGGCATCTCTCTGCAAGAAAGTAGCCTCAGATGATCCAACACGGTAGTACTACTCTGACCAACTGGGCGCACCACATGGATTAAAGAGTACAAACAGCATCTTCCTTTAGGAACCTACCGCAAATTGACTCAACACTCAAAAGAGCTGGAATAAAACCAAGGGCGCCATCTTTACACAAGACAATATCCACAATTGAACCAAGAAACGGTGGGTAAAACGCCCTCTATCTTACTACAATTATTGTTAGTTTCCTAGTAATTAATATTCGAGTTGTTGGCAGACACAGTAATAATGGCGCAAACAGTACTAGGAGGAACGGGTCGCTGTCCCCTGTCCTTCTCAGGGACAACGGGTTCATTGCTCCAAGGAGGATAACCACCCGCATCGGCATTGAGCTCACGGATTGACTTTTGCGCGCGAGGAAGAAGAGAAAGAACAGAGAGGGGGATAAGAACTGGAGCGCATTGCATCATTTTGACATTTTCTATACAACAAAAAGAAATGACAGGCCCGGAACAATTCCGCGACTACGACACCGGATCAGGGATTCACAAAATATACGGAAACATTGCACACATACCTCCGGAAGACCAGATCTTTCGGCTACAAGAAATGGATGCGCGAGTAATGGGGATCAGCCCAGCGCATCTCCCATCACCGACCGCCCCTGGAAAGGGGATCTTCAGGCGGCGGGCACCCGGCCGGGAAGAAGAAGCTCCTCCTCCACCTTGCCGTCACCACCAACACATCGAGAGACGCAACTCAGGGACAAGACGGAAGCCGGCAGATGGAAGCCACCACCACCGCCGGCGCCGCGGGATCAGGAAGTAACTGCAAATGGCTTGGGGCTGGGAAGAACGGAGGAACAAGGGAGGTGGGAGACAGGACAAGGATGGGGAGGGGGGCCTGCAGTGGAGAGCACGAGGAGCTGGAGGGTGTGCCACATGGAACGGGGTTGAATTGGCTCTCGCGAATTATTATTGTGATTTTTCCGGCTAGCTGCCGGCGCGGAGGCGTGGGATTGCTCCTGTGGCTGTGACAGATGTTCCTTGGTGATGTCGGGAACCTGCACTGACGCTTTCTTCCTTTCGTTTTCTGCTATTTGCAGGACGAGTCCTGCTATACACACGACGATTCCAGACGATTTGAAGACGATGCACAAGATCACACCATGCAGTGACCAGCAGCAGGACAGGTCCACCGTTGGATACAGTGTCGGCTGGATGTCGTGTATGAAGTGTCGTCTACAGAGCAGTTTCGTTGCAGGACAGTGACATGGAGCTAGGGTGAGGAAGCGGCCTTGGTTCGACAGAGAAGAAGTGTGTGGATATCCTGAAAGTGCATCTCGTCTTGCTTTACATATAAAGTAAATCATGATGTCCAGGTATCAAATCCAATGTAAAAAAAAATAGCACCTGTAACGTTATTCTTACTCGTAACCATTACAAATACACTAAATTGGACCTAAGATTCAAGAAAATACAAAATAACTCCTATGACTAAGAATTACAATGAAATTTCTTGAAAACACCTTCTTTGCGGTATCAACCTCTGCTCGAAGAAATACTCCAAAGACTTCGGTAAATATGCTGCAATTGGACTGGAGCAACGATGTTGTCACTCTTTCACCCGCACAAACATTACCAATAATGGTTTTTGAAAGCACCTTGAGTCGCTCATCCAAAAAGATGGGAAGCCTCGATCGATGAACGTACTTGGGCCAGGGATGATCCCCTAGAAGTGTAGGCCGCCGAATCACTATATCTTCGCCATGGTGTCGATGAAAGATTTCACCTCCACAAAGAACCAGACCAACCAAAAAAACTCAAACGACAACATAAACTCATCATATCCGAATAAATCGGATCTGCGAGGACAGAAAACTCTCTAACCTCATGGCACCGCCAGAAGAACGAGAGAAAAATTATTCTCATTATGATGACCACTAGACATTGACGAAGAATATAGAGGTTTTGAAGATCCAAGGCCCCCCCAGCTCTCAGAACCAAGATGGCGGCCGGAGGCGAGGGGACCTAAATTTCTCAGATGGTGGCGGTGGCAGCACGAGAAACCCTCCTATCTACGACTCTCCCCCAAATCAGCTTATCATGTGACAAAAAAACAGTCAGTTAGGACAACAACATAACAAATGCCCAGAAAGATTACCTTATTTTATTATAATTTTATACTTAGCACATATACGAAAAAGCGTTTATCAACCTCATTTGATGTGATCTTATGCATTAAATAGGTTACTGGTGGTAGTGAAGACCACCCCACCGATGAAGTTTGAAAGGTTGCTCGTACGGATGAGGATGAGCGAGAAGCGACATGGATGACACCTCAAGGGAGAGGTCACCGCCACCACTATCTGCTCCCATCCGTCTATAGAGGGAACGGACGTTGGGGATGCCCTTTTGGGCACTGGTAGGTCTCTCGGATAGCGAGGACGGGAGCAAACAAGAGGTGAGCACGCAATCCTCACCTAATGCAGGGTCATCGGGTGCAGGAGCTCGAGGCAAACTTAAGCATGAGAGCGTCGACTGACATTTGTTCAGGGGGGGGATGAGGAACATGGCTACTTCCTTGAGGCGGTGCCATTGGCCGCGTGGAGGGTCACATTGGTGTGGCGGTATGGGAGAGCTCGACGGAGCCCTTGTTGAGCAATGCTAGCGCAATTGGGGTTGGGGATCCTCTCCATGTGTTTAGGTGATGAGGACATCCCTACTACAGTTACATCCTCAGCCCTACGACCACGCCAATTCAAGTTTTTGAAAAATAAATATCAATGACTAGACCTCGCACACACCAACTAAAATAGTAGTTACTTCATTTCTATGAAACATGGCCAACTAAAATAAGAGGTACTTCATTTCTATGAACATGACTTTTGGTTGTGCACGACCTATGTTGTGGTGACCCCTTCTCACTAGTGGTGATCTTACCACACATTACACTACATATGCAGTACGAGAAAAAAAATCATTTGAGTCCTAGCTTGCAGTCAAATGGTAGTCCATCCTAATTGCTAACAAATTGCAGTACAAATTAACAATCATATGGCAATAGGGGAAGTTCATTGATGACAAACTAGGGGGAAGTCCATCCTCGTCTTCTTCTTTTGCTGCTTCTACCTCTGTTGTTATTTTCTTCTTCTTCAGATCCTTGGGTTACCTCTGTTTGCCCACATTGCCTCAGCCCATTCCAACCCGTCTCTTCCAAGCTTAATTGTCATGTGCCTCCACACCATGGCCGAAGTCATCAACATCAGCAACCGTCACATCTTCCTCCTCTGGCACAAGCTCATCACAAACACATTCTAGGATCCAGTTATGGAGAATGCAACATGCAAGAACAAGCCTAACTTGGGCGAGGAAAGGGTGGAATGCTTTCTGATCAAGGATCTTAAAAATATTCCTCAGGGTTCCAAATGCCCTCTCAACCGTAACTTCAAATGCCCTCTACATGTTGTAGTCACATATCATGCGTGCCACCATCGTTGTTTCCCCACTCTAGTTTTTGCAACAATGATTAAGGTTTTCCCCATAACACAACATAAGGCTTTAGGGTTCTCCGTTACTCCATGTTGTAATGATAGGGGAAGGAGGGAGATAAGCACCATAACTACAAACCTCCGAGAGCCCATCGTGACACCAATAATAATTCCCTCAAACCCACAAGTTGCTAATGTTGAGTGAGGCCTATTCATAACACCATGAGAAAATCAACACAAGACATATAAAGAAGATGGTCAGATCGCTCATAGGTATTAAGTTCTAGTCATGCATGCAAGGGTTCATCCAAATCATCAAGAATTAATACAACTACTCAAAAATGTAAAATGATAACATAGAGGAGAAGGATGATACAAGCCGACACCATGTCGGTGAAGAAGAGGAGTATGGCGGGGCTGGTGGAGATGGTGGTAATGGAGACGACACCGGTGGTAATGACGGTGATGGAGATGGTGAAGGAAATATGCCCTAGAGGCAATAATAAAGTTATTATTTATTTCCTTATATCATGATAAATGTTTATTATTCATGCTAGAATTGTATTAACCGGAAACATAATACATGTGTGAATACATAGACAAACAGAGTGTCACTAGTATGCCTCTACTTGACTAGCTCGTTAATCAAAGATGGTTATGTTTCCTAACCATGAACAATGAGTTGTTATTTGATTAACGGGATCACATCATTAAGTGAATGATCTGATTGACATGACCCATTCCATTAGCTTAGCACCCGATAGTTTAGTATGTTGCTATTGCTTTCTTCATGACTTATACATGTTCCTATGACTATGAGATTATGCAACTCCCGTTTGCCGGAGGAACACTTTGTGTGCTACCAAACGTCACAACGTAACTGGGTGATTATAAAGGAGCTCTACAGGTGTCTCCAAAGGTACATGTTGGGTTGGCGTATTTCGAGATTAGTATTTGTCACTCCGATTGTCGGAGAGGTATCTCTGGGCCCTCTTGGTAATACACATCACTTAAGCCTTGCAAGCATTGCAACTAATGAGTTAGT